TTTTCTTCTTTGACCTTTATTTATAGTTTTTCCTAACTTCCACACGTTTGTGTGCTTTTCAATTTGCCTTCTGCTATTGATGTCTAGTTTCATTCTATCATAGTTTGAATCATTTCAATCTTTTTAAAGTTCTTAAGACTTATTTTGTAGCCTAACATAAGGTCTGTCCTGAAGATGCCTAAAGTTTGTCCTGGAAAATGCTCCATGAATCCTAAAAAAAAAAAAAAAATTATGAGTTCTGCTGTTTGGGGGGTTTCATGTATTTTTAAAATAGATGGAGTGATAATCATATCAATATTGCCAATGTCATACTTTTCCAGATTTATGTATTTAACCTATCTGTATTTTTATATGATGGGAAGAAGAAATATAAATTAATTTTTATAGTTAATTTCTTCTACATTATACACAAAAATAAAAAATGAATAAAGGACATTATTTTTCATCACTACAATGAAGTATCACCCATAACCTACACCAAATTCCTCTTCAGACATGGTCTGTTTTTAAGTTCTCTATTCTACTTTATTGATCAATTTTCCTGTTTGGTTTAGTATGGTTCTGCAGCATGCCTTCATATGTGCTAGAATACATCCTCTAGAGACTTGGATCATTCCCTCTCTCCATCTTCTAAATAATTTATGCTTTTCATACAAATTTCAAAGTGCACTTTTTAAATTCTTCAAAACTATTTTCTGGAGATATGGTATGTATACACAAAGGAGTCTTACTCAGCCATAAAGAAAAATGAATTTATGTTATTTGCTGGTAGATGGATGGAACTGTAGAACTAAGCGAAATAAGCCAGACTTGAAAGTCAAAGGTGACTTCTTTGATATAAGGAGAGCAACTAAGAACAGAGCAGGGAGGAAGAGCATGAGAAGAAGATTAACATTAAACAGGGACAAGAGGTGGGAGGGAAAGGGGGAGAGAAGGGAAATTGCATGGAAACGGAAGGAGACCCTCACTGTTATACAAAATTACATATAAGAGGAAGTGAGGGGAAAAGGAAAAAAAACAAGGGAGAGAAATGAATTCCAGTAGATGGGGTAGAGAGAGAAGATGGGAGGGGAGGGACGGGAGGGGATAGTAGAGGATAGGAAAGGCAGCAGAATACAACAGACACTAGTATGGCATTATGTAAAAACGTGGATGTGTAACCGATGTGATTCTGCAATATGTATATGGGGTAAAAATGGGAGTTCATAACCCACTTGAATCAAATGTATGAAATATGATATGTCAAGAGCTATGTAATGTTTTGAACAACTAATAATAAAAATTTTTTAAAAAGAAAGTCAAGGGTGAAATATTTTCTCTCATACACAAAAGTTAGAGAGAGAAAGAAAGGAATAAATACAGAGATCTCCAAAAATAGAAGGGAGACCAATGGAGTAGAGGAAGGTGATCAAGAAGGAGGGAGGTAGGGTGTAGGGAATTGCTGGGGCATGAAATGTACCAAATTATGCTATGTCCATGTACAGATATAAATCCTGTATATATATATATATATATATATATATATATATATATATATATAATGCACTAGTTAAAATAATTATTAGAAGGGAAATCAGTAGCGTAGGACAAGTAGATCAGAGGTAGAGAGGATCGGAGATAAATGAAAGGTCCTGGGAATTAAATTGATCAAATTATGTGCATGTATGAATAATGGCATAATGAATTCCATTATTATTTATAATTATAATGCACTAACAGCAAATTTTAAAAATATGAACTGAAACGCAGAAAAGTCAATTTTAACAACTTTTAATAACTGATATGAAGAGACTAGGCCTTTGCGCACAATTATTTGGGGTAAGAAACTCCTTATTAAAAGACAATGGAAACTTCCTATATATTTAGAAATTAATCAAAACATTCCTAAATAATCTATAGGTTAAGAAAAAATACTATGTAAATAGAAATATTTTTATTAAGTTCTAATGAACATTCTGCATATCAAAACTTATAAGTATAGTAAAACTATGCTTAGAGGAAGATAGTAATGAATTTAAAATTAATAAAATGTATTGATAGGAAAGAAAAGTTTAAAAAATTAATAATTTAAGCATTCATTTCAAAAATTTAGACACAGGGGAGTAAACTAAACTCCTTTCTCTAAAATGCAAAGAAATAGCAAAACCAGGAGCAGAAATAAATGAAATAAATAAGCAAATATATTACAAAGAAATAAACAAAGTCAAAAGGTATTTTTTTTAGGGAAAAGAGAAACTATCAATTTGATAAAACCCCTGCAATAATGATCAAGAAACAAAAAGGCACAGATTAACAAAATCAGGACTGAAAAATGGGTAGCAATATATACCCTATGGGCACTAAAAAATAATGCTAAGGTGTAAGAATAGCACCTTGGTAATTTCATGATTTAGATGAAATGGATTCATTCTAATGAAAATACTACTTTAAAAAATCCTAACGCATGAACATTACTGGATGATTCTATATATTTTGAAAAATGAAAACATTATCATTATTATTCCTACAATTGAAAATAGTCCTAGAGGGCTTCATTATTGATTGGTGAATTCTGCCACACATTTAAAGAAAACTGACATTAACCTTACACAACCCACTGCAGAGAATAAAAAAAAGAGAGAGAACATTGCCAATTCACTTTATAAGGTCATGAAGTCCTTGATACCAAACCTAAAGAGATCATTCTAGAAGAAAAAATTATTGAAACTATCTTTTTCAAGAGCATAGATACTAATAGGCTAAAAATACAGTAACAAACTAAGTTCTAGAATGTGAAAAAGTCCAAGTTGGTTCTATCATAGGAAAGTTAACTAGATATTTGAAAATCCATCATTACAATTAACAGAATAAAGGAGAAAATCTACATGGTCATTTTAAAACCTAATTATGGTTAAGAAAGAAATTTAGCAAACTTTGAAAGAGTGGGGTCCCTCCTTTATCTAATATGGAAAATCTACAAAATTGTCTTCAAGAATACCCACAACGAACATGTTAACACCTGTTTAGTAATTGGAAATGAGATAAAAATGCCTCTAAGACCACTCCATTTCATGTTGCAATGGAAAGTCCAGTGTCATGAGACAATAAAGAAAAAGCATAAATAAAAGTTTTCTGTCAGGCAAAAAAAAAAAAGCATAAAAATTTAAAATATAAAACTATCATCCAAGATAATATAAATGCACTTATAATAAAAAAGAATCTAAATCTGTGAATTTTAAATTTACTTTCAAAATACAAAATATAAGAATCCATTATATTTCTATATTCTAGAAACAAATGATTAGAAGATGAAATTTTATAATATCATAACATTACTTGAAACATATCTATGAATACATATATGAATAATTTTCTAGTTTTGGTTTTGAGACAGGATCTTGCTGCACTGCCCAGACTGGTCTCAAATTTGAAGACTTCCCAAGTAGCTGAGATTACAGGAACACATCATTTTGCCTATCATAAACAATCTCTAATATTTTTTTTAAATTTTTAGTTGTAGTTGGACACAATACCTTTGTTTTATTTATTCATTTTTATGTGGTGCTGAGAATCAAACCCAGGGCCTTGCACACGTTAGGCGAGCACTCTACCGCTCAGCCACCCAACCCTAATCTCTAATCTTATATTCAGGGAAAAAAATAGATATTACCAAATGGAAGGTCATATCATGATATGGATCATAAGACTTAGCATTAAGATGACAAATTGCTTCATATCAGTCTATTAGAAGAAATGCAATACCAGTTGTTCAGGAAAAACTGTCCAAAACAGGAAACTGGAAAAAAAAGGATAATTGTGGAACTTTAAATATCATACTAGAATATTTTTCAATAAGCTGAAGTCATCTGACTTTGAATTAAAATAGACATGTTTAAACTAAGTTTTTTTGTTTGTTTGTTTGTTCTAAATGAGAATCTTGAAGTTGACAATTTTATTGCTCCATAGATCATTAATGTGATGTGTAGTTAATGTAACAATCTTACTTCCATATTCCTTTCTCCAGTGACTATTTAAGTCTTAGTTCTTCATTTCATCTTTGAATGGTCCCAGTCACTCTTCAGGTCTTCTCATTAATGAATTAAATGAAGCTTAACTACCAGTTTCCTATGTATTTGTCTGAGAATTAGGGACTAAACAATTGAAAATGATAATCTTACTTTAGAGAGGTCCCACTGATATGTGTTGGATCAAGATCCTTGACACCATGTCTTTTGGGATTCTTTGTTTCCCTCTCCTTCTCTTACTGCTGAATGCAGCAAAAACTAGGTTCTACTCAGGGTTCTCATGTGTCAAAGTCAGATGGTCATTTATATGTCTGTGTTCTCAATAAGATGTTGTCTTTAAATCTTAGGAAGAGAAAAGAGGTTTCTATAGGATATGACTTCATACAGTTGGAAGCTGGTTTTTCCTCCAGGAATGGTAGTTTATGAAAAATAAAGGTGTCCAATATTTTCTAAATTTTTAACAAACTCAGGAGCTCATGGTTCAGTCTCATCTCTTCTGCTAACTTTAGTAGATCATTAACAGGACAATGTTTAATGAATCTCATCTTCATGGTTTGTAAAAATGAGAGAAATAGCTTGAACCTACCCTTTAAGTTCCCTTTAATGATTTTATGACAAAGGTCAATATAATAGGCTGTCTTTCCCCCAATTAAATTCTAGAAATGAAAGGAGTCCATTCTGTGCATGTGTACTGAGCAAGAAATAATGATTTCTGGGGGAAAAAAAAAAGAGAAGAGAAACACATTTGTTAAATAGTGCAATAAGTCTGTATTTGGAATAGAACATAGCTTGTTGATTGCATATATCAAGGTGGGGCAAACAAAGTTCAGTTAAACTCAGTTCCCTTCCATGATGAACATGAATATATGAATATGTATGATATAGATGCATGATAGATGAACACACGTGAATAACCGAGTCATTGAAACTCTGCTGAGAAAAATGCCAAAACCAGAAAAATAAGCTTATTTTCCATAAACGGGTACACATCTTAAATAATTATCAAACCACCTTTTATTCTTAACCAATGTTTAATTCCCCCAAATAACATAAAAACTAAACACCTTGAAAATCGTAAGAAATCATATTCACCTTCATATATACACATGCACATGTATACATACATAATTTATCAAAACAATATATACAAGTAAAATCCCCACTGAAGTTCATCCTTGGCAGTAACAAGGTACATACATGGTAAAAAGAAGTAAAATAATACAAGTATACTCTATCATGGCTTTGTTTTCAAAAATATAAAATTAAACTGTCTTTTGGAAAAACAGACTTCCTACAGTTTTATACACATTTATACCCAGGCTGCAAGAAAATAGTGACAAGCAGAAAATAATGTCAGGATTGAGGTTAACATCTTATACTTAACTACTTTGAATTGTGTAAACATTGTCTATGCAAACATTTATTCTGTAGCTCAGTGGTCACAGAATTAATGAAGGTACTATAGTTCTCTAGGCAGAAATTCTATCAGCTCTTTTACTGGGTAAACCAAATAGCTAAACTGATTCTTAGTCCCACATCCTGAGCATGGAGGCTTATTTAGTATTTATTAGGGTGGTGCTCAGTGGATCATCACTTGCCCCTTTGCATACCAAAATTCAAGAGTTCTCCAAGGTGTTGAACATCATAGAAACTAAAAATAACATTCATTTTATTTTATTCCAAACTGGATATGTTTTCATTGCACACTGCAAAGTAACAGTTCTGCTAGCAATTAGAGAACCAGGCTACCTCAAGAAAAGAAAGGCCCAGTATCTAATCTCTAGATGAAATAGCAATTAACTGGGTTTTCAATGGGCATATGAATCATAAACCTGTAATCAGAATGAAGAAATGTGTCCTCATAATAAAGGAATACAGCATAGTCTTATTACTACTAATATAACACACACCTAAATCATCTTTTGACTTTACAGAGCCATAGAAGCTGTTCTTATTTCCTCAGAGCTAACTGGCCTGTGCACACAGTATACATGCCAACACACGTGCACAACCATACACAGGCACTTTCTCCCCATGGTAAACTCTATAATATACAAAAAATTCCTAAGTGGTTATTTCTATTAACTTAAAATGTCTGCTTCAGAGATAGAAAATAGAATAACATATGATTAAGGTTTGTGCTTCTAAAATCATTCTGTTTCTATATTCATGTGTGATTGCTTTTCCATACCTAAATTCAATTTTTTCCTCAGCACTATGAAGCAAGGTGATTGCACAATGACTCCATTATCCTTCTGGTGACAGATAAGCATAAGCTAAACCCAATTAGGGCATGTCCCAACATTTTAGAAATTTGATGGCCAGAGCATTCTCCAGGTACTAGCTTAGTTTGTTATTAAATTTTTATCCCACTTGTTATTGTTACATTATGGATACACTAAAACTTTGGTTAAATATCTGTCCCTTTTGGCCTTTTCCTATATTTTACAAATTTAGTTTATGTTCAGTCTTTGGTCTTCTGAAAGAGCTTCAGTAAAATAAGTACTCACCATTAACATAAATATTGAACAGCACTAAAATAACTTTGTTATTCTCTAAATTTTGACCCCCACACAGTCATAGGAGATTTCCCAAAACCTGTAATCAATATTGCAAAGCTGGTTTTACATTGAATTGTACATGATTTTTTTCCCAAATGAAGATGATTTATTTTCAAGCATAAAAAAAAGCATAGAAAAAAAGTAGTGGGGACTGGTGGCACAAGCCTGTCATCCCTGCTACCCAAGAGGCCAAGGTAAGAGGAACTCAAGTTCGTGGCCAGCCTCAGTAACTTAGCCAGACCCTGTATGTTATTTTTAAAATACAAATGGCTAGGTGGGGGTGGCTCAGTATGGTGGTGGTAATGGTTGTTGCCACTGCCACTCAGTCATTCCGTAATGAGTCGCTCGTCTCGCTTCTCCTTTTTGTTCCATTTACTCACTTATAAATCAAATGTTCTTTTCGTTTCCCCATTAGAAATATTTTAACAAGTGAGGGGGAAAACAATTATACTCATCCCTCAAAATCTTTGAGCCCCCAAGAATATAAAAATTTGTTGACCCTTATATAAAATGATACAGTATTTGCTTATGACCTATACATATCTTCACATTTACAGTGTTTTGAATCACCTGCAGGTTACTTGCAAAACCCATAGCAAGGCAAATGCTATGAAAATGGCTATTATACTACATTCTTCAGGGAGGAAAAAGAATAAAAGTACATACATGTTCAGTACAGATGCAATGTTTTTTTTAAAATGTTTTCAATTCATGGTTGACTGAATCCAAGGATGGAGAACCCACGGAAAAGGAGGGATAACTGTGCTGCATTTTTGAAACCTATTTATGGTAAAATAAATGTTTTCACAGTATTTCTTCCCTTAAATTCATCCAGTATTTTACTTTAACCCCCTACTCCTGAAACATACTCTTCAACTAACATGATTCTCTGTATGTTCTGGATTTCTCTTGATAAGCAGAATTAGACACTTTGCCCCAGGGCATACTAGCTCAGAAACTTCGGGTGACCTCTTAAGAGCTTCCTTTTCTCAACTACTGTTTTCAAGACATCCATCCAGAGCAAAGCAGACAGGAAAAGGAGTATGATCTGAGCAGTATGGACACCGTGCCAGAAGTGTTTTGCTTTTCTAAACAGAGTCCACCTGGATTAAATTCTTGTTGGCTATTAATGGAGAGGGTTTACATTTAACCTTATCTGCTACATCATTCGAGCTATCCACAAAGAACATCTTGGCTGTACACAGTGAAACTATAATTCTTCTGTATTCCTTTCTGAAATTTTGGTTCAGAAGTCCATATATAATTGCATTGAGGCAGCTGTTGAAATATGCCATGTAGTAACTAGCCACAAACAGCCACTCGGGTATCCTGGGCACCATGCTGGCAGGGTCTGTGGCCACAACAAGACCAATGAAGTTGAGAGGAGCCCAGCAAATTGCAAAAAGGACGAAAACCACAAACATGGTGACAAAGTTCCGGAAGTCCTGTGGTTTCAGTTTGGGTTTGTTGTCAGATTTCACCCTCCGTCTGACCTGAAGAACCAGGATCCATATTCTCAGGTAACAGAAGATGACGATGACCATCGGGACTATGAAGTGGAAAACCACCACAGCTATCGTGTAGGCTGAACTGACCGACTGTGAAAACGTACAGGAATAGATCCTGGGGTCATACTGGAGCGTTTCTGTTCTCAAGTTGGGCACAATGGCCACTAGCGTCAGCATCCATATCAGGAACACGTAGCAGAGGGAATTCTTGTTACTGTACAGCTTGTCGTACTTGAGGCTGTGGCAGATGTAGCAGTAGCGATTAATGGCGATCCCAGTGATATTGAATATGGAGCCAATGACACTCAAGCCCATCAGGAAACCACTAATTTGACAGTGCAGAGATCCCAGGTTCCAGCCATTGTTAAAGATCGATGTCAGCACCAAGGGGTAGGGATAAATGGCTACCACCAGGTCTGCAACTGCTAGGCTCACCACAAATATATTTCCTAAAAGAGAGAGATTTATAAGATATAAGTCAATACCAGTATTGCAGGAGTTGTAGTTTCTTCTTTTCACAATTAAAGAGCTGGTTAATATTTCCACAACTTGGTTGATCTGACATCATAGCTACTGTCCACACTATAAATGAAGTAGAGGCCATTTTCACCAGGAAGTAAGCCTGTTGTCACTCCTGTAAAATCAAGTCCCCTCTTCATAACTTTCCACGTTACCACAACAAGGTATATTCTATATCCCAGACTGTTGTCTTTAAAACTAGTTCCTCTTTAAAAAAAAAAAAGTCCCAAGTTTATTATATCTGTATTGCTTCTTTTGCTTTGGAACCATCTATATTAACTGAGAAATCTCATATTTTGTTATTCTCAAGTCAGCCGTGATTTCTTTAAATTCCAGGTCTTCTATTCTCTTTAGTTCTTCAACAGTTCTCAAATGAACCGCTAGCTTCTGTTGTTGAGAGCAATGGATCTTTGTCCACAGCACAACAAATTCAGGCAGAAAGGACTCTGTCACCTGTCTGGAGTAGAACACCAGCCTCATGCCTACCAGCTATGTAACTGGGACAAATGACTTCACCTTGCCAAGCTTCAGCTTCCTCTCTGAGAGGGGGGGATAACGATAGCATCTTCTGCATAACACTGTAGAAAGCATTAAATGAGGCCAAAATCTCTGTCAAGTAAAATGGTGTTCATATTCTACAACTCGCTCTTCTCAAATCAAAAGGCAAAATTTCTCTTAACTTTTATAAAGCACTTAAGGCACAAGAATTAAACTCTAAATATTCTAGATAAGTTATAATTTATACATCAGTGTAATAATTAAACACATTTTTAATGTATAGAAAAATAACTCAAATTTCATAAGATGTTCTACAAAGTATATTCTTTTCTTTTGTGGCTTTTTTTTTTTTTTCTTTTTCTTCTTGTAGTGCTAGTAATTGAATCCAGGGCCTCAATGTATGCTAAGCAAATGCTCCACCACTGAGCTACCCAGACCCACTTTTTGTTTTTATCTTTGTTTCTTACTATTCCTTCTGCCTCAAATGACTCTGCTCCATCTTTTAAAATGCCACCCATTTTTCTATGTCCATCCTAAATGGAGGAGACCAAAGGCCTTTGCTTATTTGACCAATCAGAAGTAAGCATTTCCTTCTTGAAAGGCTCCTAAGTCACTTTATACCACTTTTAATGTGGATTAAATTGTAGTAAATTCTGTTCAATAAAAATTTATTAAGTACATACACTAGATGCTGGGGAAACAGGAATGAAGAGACAGGAAAACTCAGAAACACAAAAGCACATAGTCAGAAGCACCAGAGTATGTAACAGAAAGAGGAAATGAGGAAGTTGTTAGGCAGGGATGAGAAGGGGCATTCTAGGACCTTCTACAGATGCAAATATTTAGATGTCTATTTGTGAACTTTGCTTTCCTACACTCCTCGACTGTAGCCCCTCAGGTTACGTCCGTCTTCCTCATTTTTATGTCTTACTAGAATCTCTAGTACAATGACTTTTGCTCATGTTTGATGATGTAATTAATTTGTCCCTTCCCAACATTTGAAATAAAATAGTCTCTGTACTTTATGTTTCTAATTCACTAATTTTATTCCCCCAAGAAATTGTTACAAAAAAAAAATGAAGTAAAACAGCAGTCATGAAATGAAACAAGAAAAGCAAAGCTTGCATCATTTATGAATTTCAGATAAACTGTTATAAAGCGAATTACTTAAAATTGGTTATATTGGGGCTGAGGATATAGTTCAGTTGGTAGACTGCTTGCCTTGCATGTATAAGGCCCTGGGTTTGATCCCCAGGACGTGCGCACGCGCGCGCGCGCACACACACACACACACACACACATACAAATTGGTTACACAGTTCAAGTTAAAGGTGATGGAAAACTAATTTTTCCCCACAAATACATTTCAATTACCAATGTAATATTTAAATTCCAAAGTCAGCATATGTTAATGAATTTTAACTGAAACTATTTAACACTTGAAAAATACGAACAATATGTGAAATTCAACTACAAATTAAAATGTCATCAAAACAATACCCTAGAATGTCACAATGACAAACTGGCTTAATATAGATTTATTTTTAAGGAACTTAAAATCATCTTTTATGGCTTTCATTCTGTGCTCTATTTATTTTATAGCAATTATGCTTCATTACTGTTCAAGTAATTATATTAATTAAATTGTTGGTTTAATTTTCTTTGAATTAATTTCATCTTACAAATGTTTGGAGAAAAAACTTAAGTTACAAACTGTATGGAGATGTAGATATCAGGTAGTTTAGCTTGAAAATTTATCACATCTGCTCATTTTGAAAGGTGTGAGTGTTGGGTGGGGAGGATGGAAAAGGAACTTTTTTCATTTAACTCATTCATTCTTGCAATTAAATCAATAATAATTACTCACACCAGAAGGTTATGTATTCTATTCTCAGTTCTGTGCTACTCCAGAAATTAGCAATCTACCCATTTTTACAGATATCAACACAGTAAAGAATTCTGAAGTTTAATATCTGTTGATGGTTAAAAATTTCTTTTTCATTGTATTTAGCTCCAATCCTCACTGTGGGGGAATTCTGGAATGATCCAGTTGTTATGGTGTAGAAGTGGTAGCCCTTGAAAGCTCACATGTGAGACAATGCAAGAAGATTTGGAGGAGAAATGGTTGGATTATAGCCTTAGCCTGATCGGTGAATTAATCCCTGATAGGATTAACTGAAGTGGTGAGGTGTGGTTGGGGAGACAGGAACTGGGGCATGGCTTTGGGGTATATGTTTCTATCTGGTGAGTGGAGTCTCTCTCTTTGCCTTCTGATCTCATGTGAGCTGCTGCCTTCTGTCACACACTCCACCATGATTCAGCCTCACCTCAAGCCCCAAAGAATGGAGCTGGCCTTCTATGAACTAAAACCTGTGAGCCCTCAAATAAACTCCTCCTCCCCTATAGCTGTTCTGGTCAGATTCTGTAGTCAGAGCAGCGAAATAGCTGACTAAACCACCAGTCAATATTGAAAGGCATATACTACTAGTGACCATCTTGTACCTTCCTACAAGACAAGAAAAGCAGAAATACTGAGTTACATTCGATGAAGTCACAAAACTAGTGAGAGCTGAGGGTACAACATGGTTTATTTGTTAGTTTTGCTGAGTGCATTTCCCTAAAGAAGTTCCTGTGCTCCTACAGAGATCCAAGGATTATGACCTCTACGGGCATCATTCTTTAAAAGCTAGATCTAGAAAATTATAGAGATGAAGGGGGAAGAGAAACCACTTCGAGGTCACTTTACTAGGAACAGGAAGAAACACAGCCTCACAATGATTAAATGTACAAACTATAAAAATGCAGAGAATTTTTTTTATAATAAATAAAATTTTAAATTAGAAACAAAATAGAACCCAGATATGCAGAAATTAAGAGACAACTACAGAGCCGCCTTGTCTAACTGCCTCCCTCAGAACGAGTCCTGTGACTTTCCTCTGAATGATCCGACTGGCAGTGCTTTTCCACCTGTGACAATGACTTCTTCACCTTCTGCTATCTCCCCACAGCTCATGTCATCCAATTCACCAGGGCAGTGCCTGTCCTAGACGTCACCCTGCTGCCACCACACTTTGAACAGTACCTGGCACTGAGTTACTTATAGTGAGTTCACATTGTGTTGACATAGCAAGGCTAAGAAGACACTTCCTTGTATAGCTCCAGGTTGGTATTCCCCACAAGAGACAATTTGTCACAAGATTTTATTAAAAAGTGAAAATGAAGTGGTAGCCCTATTCTCTTTACACTCATAAGTTTTTCATAAAGCATGAGGTGCCTCAGCAGCTCTGGCCCTTGAGTCTCATCAACTGGCCTCTGGTGGTGGTTGAGGGGCAGTGGCATGTCCATAGCTTCTCCAGCTCCTGCTGAACTCCACTTGGAGAAACTGGGAGACTGACCCACCGAGGTGAGTTCAGTTCATCTTCTTGGGTTCCAGCCATTCCTCCAAAGTTCTGGTTCCCTGTGACCCCTCTTGACATCTATCTTGCCATTTCAACTACCTTTTCTGTGGACTTTAGGCTCCAAAACCAGAATTAGAAGCAATAGCCCTAATAAATTACTTTATCAATTCCCACAAAATCTAGAGATTTTGCTTCTTGAATTGACTGAATCTTGACTGATGCAGAATTTGGTAGTGGAAGTGAACTAAAAGAACCTTAAAGATGGTTAAACTGTATTGGTTCTGGGTTCTATGACAGGACCAGACTGAAAGTATTAAAAACCCTAATTCCAATAGCAAAAGGGGACACTGGTAGTTCATGACATTCAGTAGCAATAGTTACTTAAATTGTCACCTGTATCATCTTTTAAGGTAAAGAAAAAGTTGCTGTATTGCCCTGTTACCAACTGAAGAAAAATAGAAAAAAACTATATGCACCTTCCTTTGACATACTACATAAAACTATGTACTGAGTAAACTCAAACCTGACAGATTTTATGGAGCAAGAAAAAGCTATGAAAGGCTGCTCTTCCACTTGATCCATCGTATCCAATAGCTCTAGTCTGAAGGTACCCCCACAAATTCCTATCTTGAAATTTATTCACCAATATGATAGTATTGAGGTGAGGCTTTGAGGAAGTGATTAAGTCATGAGGATGGGCCTTATAAAGCAGGTATGGAGGGGTGTTCATCCATTCTACCCCTTCCACCATAGAGGGATGCAGCATATGTCCCCTCTAAAGGATGCATTGAGAAGGCACCATATTGGAAGCAGAGAATAGTGCTCGACAGACACCAATTTGCCTGCCAGTTTCTTGATCTTGTACTTCCTGGTCTCCATATCTATGAAAAATAAATGTTAATTATTTATAATTACCCAGTCTAAGGTGTTTTGTTGCAGCAGCATGAGTTAACTAAGATACCAATAGTGCTTGAATTATTTACAGTAGATCATGAGGCTGTAGGGAGACTTCAGCAGGCACATATAAGTGATTT